CCTCCTCTTCCTCCTCCTCCTCCTCCTCCTCCTTCTTCTTCCTTCCCATCTTTTTCTTTCATTGTTGAAACCTGGGCATCTTAGCTAACAGAGCCATTCTAGATTCTGATCTTTTCTTCACTATTGATGGCCTTCTCTTGGCTCTGTCTTCCCCTGGGTGTGGGGCTACAGATAGCTCTGCCCAGTTTTACAAAAACTCCTGCTTTTGTTTTCCAGCCCAGCCTCTGGGGTCTGTTATCAAACATCTTTCCCGGGGTTGCTTTTGCATTCGTTTGATGACTTTGTGTGTGAGTGTGTAGCCGTTTACCACGCTGTAGCTCTGGTCTTTCAGTCTGGCATGCACGGGCTCTCTCTCTCTCTCTCTGTGCTGTGCAGCAGCCTCCCGTTCAAGCAGGTAGACAGGTGCCGACAGCCGGGGTTCCTCCCTCTCCCCGGCTCTTGCTTATACAGAAATACCTGGGGACCTAGAAGGGCAGAAGTGGCCTGCCCTGTTCCCTGGATCTCCAGTCCTCCATGCACCGGTTATTTTTGAGATAGGGTCTCGCCGCTGCTGCAGTGTGGTGCCGGACCCCGTGGCCTCCATCCACGGAGGTCCACCGGCAGCGGCGCCGGCTGACCGCCCCTGTCCTCCCCGCAGGCCGTGGAGGAGCTCCTGCACACGCTGGACCTGGAGGCGCAGGCGGTGGCCCTGGGGCCCAGCCAGGTGAGCACAGCCAGCCCCCCGCGGGCAGCGGGGCCCCGCTTCCTGTCCTGTCCCAGAGTCACATTCTGCTTTACCAGGTCCGGGTGACAGAACGTGATCTTAACACTGGGAGATGGCATTTGTTCAAAAGTCCATGTCCAGGGAGTTCAGCAAAAGCTGTGACTTTAGGTGACCTTGACCTTAGATGACCTTCCAAAAGACCTAACAGAAAACCCAAGGAAATGCTCTCCATTCACAACCCCTAGGCATTTTTTTTTGCAGTACTGAGAATTGAACTCAGGGCCTGGTGCGCGTGAGGCAGGGGCTCTGCTGCTGTGCTGCACCCCCAGCCCATTTTTTTTTCGGTTGATCGTGAGGCTTGAACTGTGGGCCTGGACGCTGTCCCTCAGCTCTTCAGCTCAAGGCGAGCGCTCTACCACTTGAGCTACAGCGCCACTTCCAGTTTTCTAGTGGTTTATTGGAGATAAGACTCTCACGGGCTTTCCTGCCTGGGCTGGCTTTGAATGGTGATCCTCAGGTCTCAGCCTCCTGAGTAGCTAGGATTACAGGCGTGAGCCACCAGCGCCCGGCCCCAGCCTGTTTTTGCTGTGGTTCTCTTTGACACAGGTTCTTGCTTTTTGCCCCGGAAGGCCTGGTCTTCAATCTTCCTATTTTTAGGCTTCCTATGTAGCCGCGTGACAGGTGCACGCCGACTCACCAGCTCTTTCTGTTGAGATGGGGTCTGGTCAGCTTTTTTTCTTTTCCTTTGGCTGATCTGGCCTGGAACGTGCAATCCTCCGATCTCAGCCTCCTTCCTGGGCAGCCGGGTCTCAGGTGTGAGTCTCCAGCTTCGGGGCAGATCCTGCCAAGCTGGGCTTTGCAGGTAGCTGGCGGCTCCCTGTGGGCCTAGCTGGACACCAGCCACACAGGAGAAGAAGGCACCAGGTCAGAAGGAGGCGCTCGATGGCTGGGCCGTGTGGGAGGAGACATAGGGTCCCATTGCAGGGCTGAGCCCGGAGCAGCTGCCTTTCGTATCTCCCCAATAATTCCCCTTCACTGGAATCCTCCCCACGAGTGAGTGACACCCAGCCGTTCTTCTGGAGTGAGGGTTGACATTGGAGCGGGGAGGAGGCCCCGAGAGCCCCGTCTGGCATAGACAGGAGCTAAGGGGCAGAGATTGGAAAGACAAAAGTGGGCAGGGCCAGGGCGAGGGCTCGAGGCTCTGTCCAAACCCTGCCCAGCTCTGGCTGCTCAGGGAGCACCTTTGCCTGAGCCCCTCCTGGGGGGCTGGGGGAGGGACAGCTCCCTGGAGGCCCAGCCTCTGGCATTGTCTGCCACCCGCCCTGGCCTGCTTGCTTTGGAGATAAGGTCTTGCTCACTTTTTCCCCCGGGGCAAGCCTCCAAAATTGATCCACCTGTCTCTGCCTCCAGAGCAGCAGCTGGGATTATAGATGTGCGCCACCATGCTCGGCTCTCATTGCTCATTCCAGGCCCTGTGGTCCTGAGCTGGGAGAATTGTTCTTCCTCCTCCCAGGCCAGCAGTCCTCAGAGGTGGGTGGGGAGGAACCACCTCAAGCTCCCCAAGACTCAGGGACTGAGAAGCTGAGGGTGGGGCCCAGTGCCGCGTGGAGCCAGGCGTCTTCCGGGTGTTTCCTGGTGTGTGTGCAAATCTGAGAAGCAGAGGTTGGACTGTGGCCTCCGTCTCGGGGACAGCAAAATCAGGGAGGGCTTGCTGCCCAACAGCGATCGCAGAGCCAGGAGAGAACGGACGGACGTGTCTGCGCTTCAGGCCTGGGCCGCCGGGGGCTGGAACCCTTCACTCATGCTTCCCGCCTTGCTGGGATGGCCCGCGTGCTCCGTGAGGCCCAGCCACGGCCAGAGAGGAGGCCGGGAGAGCTCAATCCCCCGACCAGGTGGAGAACAGGAGAACAGCAGCTAAGGGACCAAGCTGTGATGCTCCAACCCCAGCCTCCCCCTGGACTGGGATTACAGGCGTAAGCTACCACACCCCGCTCAGACACAGAGAATCCGGTCCCTTTTGGAGTTCACTGGGTCCTGGTGACTGCCAAGCCAGAGGGTAGGTATCTGTGAAGTGGAGCTACAGACGTCTCTTCCTCCTCCTCCTCCTCCTCCTCCTCCTTGTCTGGGACTCACCGCCTCTGCGGTTAATTGGAAGAAGCATTTGCACGGCGAGATTCTTTCCCACCCATGGACCGCAGCTGCTCCACCAGGCAGACGGGCGGGCGGCGCGGGCTCCTCGCATCCAGCAGGAGGGGCCCAAATCAAGATAAAAAATAAATAAATGAACCTCGCGGCCTGCAGCTTTTCAGAGACAAACAGCCCTCTCGGCCGGGTTCTGCGGATTTTTTTGTTTCTTACGGTGGGGATGTGGGGGCCTCCGCTCTGTTTGGGTGCGATAAGCTGAGACTCCCGTGGAGAGCGAAGGATTTAGATCTCTCCGTGCGATCTTCCAGCCCCTGGAGCCTTATCGAGGTTTGTGCCGTGGGCCGTGACATTTATGAAGCGGCCATGGGCCGGCGGGCACCCCAGCTCTGCAGAAAGGAAAGAAGAGCCCGGCAGCGCGCACCGTGCGGGCTCTGCCGGGCCAGGGCGTCTCCTGTGACCGACGTCGCCGCTGCGGGCTCTGTGCCTGTCTGCGGCGGCCAGGAGGAGTGCGCCACTGGCTCCTCAGCATTTTGAGCATTGATTTTTTTTTTTAATCGCAGCTCTGGGGACTCAGCAGCTTGTGAAATTAATGCAGCCATGTTGAACCAGTCTGATGGGTGGCGAGTCCCTTGTGTCTTTTATTTCCACAAGGGTGATTATCCTGGGGGCCCTGCCTGGTTCTGTCCGGTGAAGTGATGCAGACTTGCAAAAGTAGAGCCTGACCCCAATTGAGTGTGCACTTGTTTTCATTTTTCTACAAGCACTGAGCACCGAGCACCAAGTACTGAGCGCCAAGCACCGAGAACCAAGCACTGAGTACCAGGCACCAGGCACTGAGCACCAGGCAATGAGCACTGAGCACCAAGAACCAAGCATTAAGCACTGAGTACCAGGCACTGAGCACCAAGCACTGAACATCTAGCACCAAACACTGAGCTCAGGCTCACAACAAGAGCAACTGAGGACTCCCCATGATGGAGAATTGACATGTCCCCTTTGTTCCAGCCAGAACCCAATTGCAGTGGAATCTCAGATGTTTATGTCTGATCGAGGAAGACATGGAGGCAGTCTCAATTTGTCCCTGATGATGGACCCAGGGTCCTGGGTTCAAGTCTTCCCTGCATGGATCACCAGTGGGGTGAACTTGAGTCCAGTTCATAACAGATGCCTCGCAGAGGGGCCCTAAAACGTGTTACTCGGGGCGTGGAAGACGGCGTGGAGAGATTTGGGTGCCATGCCACTGCTAGTTACAACTGTGCTTCCGCTCGGCGACAGCCAGAAGGGGATGAGGCCTGCGGCTGCCACCGGCCCCTCCAGGCCTGGGTGGGGCTGGGGTGGGGGCGCCTTTGTAACCCCAGGGCCTTCCACGAGATGGGGGTAGTGCCTGCATGTCCAGCGCATGCGTGGTCGGGCTCCAGAATAGAGTAAGTGCTTAATAAACACTTGCCATGACCTAGTACTGCTGCGCAGTACTTCCTCCTCTGGAGGAAGGCACGCCTTTGGGTGGACCTCTGACAACCACACACACACACACACACACACGTATGCTCAACTGCAGAAAGTTGTGGCTTGGACAAGTATGGCAGCTCACACCTGTCATCCCAGCTGCCTACCATGGAGGTGGAGTCGGGGAGATTCGAGTCTGAGACTGGAGAGTAAGAAGTTAGCAAGACCTCATCTCAACCAACACGTGGGTGCGGTGGTTCATGCCTGGCACCCAAACTGCAGGGCACATGCAGGGAGGAGCACCGAGGCCAGGCTGTCTGAGAAAATCCTTTTCCACGCATCTGTGCCCCTGCCCCCCCCCCCCCGCCTTCCTCACAGGCCGGGGACAGGCCGGCTTCCCAGGGGCTGTCTGGGCAGTGGCAGACAGGGACAGGGCCATCAGGAGCCCCTGGGGGCTGCCAGCGAAGGTTCTGGAAGCCGTGACCGCCAGGCCCACAGCCCCGCGGAGCCCTGGACGCGGGATTCACGGCAGCACCCCCTCCCGCAGGTGTTCCTCAAGGCTGGCGTGGTGTCCAGGCTGGAGAAGCAGCGGGAGAAGATGGTGGCTCGCAGCATCGTCCTCTTCCAGGCCGCATGCCGGGGCTTCCTGTCCCGCCAGGAATTGAAGAAGTTGAAGGTAGATCCCGGCTCCGATCCCACCCGGGCTCCCGTCCCGTGGGTTGGGAGGGTCTCCCGGGCCACACTGCCAGCAGATGGCCCTGAACTTGGCCTCTGGGGGCTCGGCCACGCCCTCTGGGGACGTCTCCTGTCCCGTCTCTGGGGACCGCATCTGAGGTCCTGGGGCAAAAGGCACTGGAGCCACAGCCCTGGCCCAGGCTGGGTCAGCCTTCAGAGGTGGAGGGAAAATGGGGTGGCTGTGGCTCACACCCTGGCCCGGCCTGGGGAAGAGCAGGACCTGCAGGCAGACACACGGGGTTGCACGCATGACGTCGCGCGTGCAGCACGAGAACTCGGAGAGAAACAGCCACGCTGGGCAACCCCTGCTCTGGGAGGGATGGCCATGGGCTCGTGACCCCTCTGCCATCTCCGGCCTCCCTCCCTCCGTCCTTCCTTGTCCCCTCCCTCCCCACCTCCCCGCCCGCCTTCCCCGCAGGTCCACCGGCTGGCTGCACGCTGCATCCAGAAGAATGTGGCCGCCTTCCTGGCGGTCAAGGACTGGCCGTGGTGGCAGCTGCTGGCATCCCTCCGGCCCTTGCTGAGCGCCACGGTGGGGACCGAGCAGCTCCGAGCCAAGGAGGTGAGTCCCGAGGTGGGCCGGGCTGCGCAGCCCCTCCCTCCTTCCCTGCCACCTCTCAGCGCTTGCAACCTGTGTCGGGCACCCCGCACTGTATTGTGGACCTAGAAACACTCAGCCGGCAGCTCCCCACCGCCCCTTCTTTCTGGATCCTTCCATCAACAGCAGCCCCCTTCCACCAGAACCCCAGCCACCTTTGAGTTTGCACCTCCTGTTTCTTTTTCCTTTGGTCGGTTGTGGGCATGCACTCAGGGCCTGGGTGCTGTCCTTGAGCTCTTTTGCTCAAGGCTAGCACACTACCACTTGGAGCCACAACGCCACTTCTGGGTTTCTGGAGGAGGAGGGAAAACTACTCAGGCAGGATCAAGGTTCTGGCCCCACACGGTGGCCGCACGGGCAGGGCCAGTGTCACGCTGAGCAACTGCTCTCGTCTGAGACTTGCATTCGGCCCCTCAGCTGGGCTGCACAAGTCAGACCTGCGAAAGCAGAGACGCTGCATCTGAACCCCGGTGTTTGGACCTGGCGAAAGAGAAAGGGCAGGAACGAGTGTCCTATCTGGGCCGACTGGCCTTATTCCTCGCCACCATTTTTGTGACATTTATCTCCGTGGACAAGTGGCGATTGTTTGTCTGTGGCATCTGACGTGGCGGTGTGCTCGATGTCGATCGTCCAGCAGAATCCAGCCCTGTTAATAGTCTCTGGCCTTCCCTGCTTGCCTGTGCCCCCCCCCTTGGAGATTAGCCAAGTGTGTTCCACCGAACTGAGGCCTTGAGCCCCGTGGTCCTCCGAAGCCGGGGCCTGGTGTGGAACGGCGCCTGGCAAGGCATTTGTTTCCATAGGAGGAGCTGAGTGCGCTGAGACGGAAGCTGGAGAAATCGGAGAGCTTGAGGAATGAGCTCCGCCAGAGCTCCGACCTGCTACAGAGCAAGGTAACCCCCCCCGGCTCCCAGAGGGGTCCCCGTGTGCGGGAAGGTGACACGGGCTGCGGCCGGTACCCTAAAAGGGCATGCCGGGTTCACACTGTTAGTTTGGAGATGGGAGGGGTTCTCGTGGCCTTGAACTGCGATCCTTCAGATCTCAGCCTCCTGAGTACAGACATGCTCTTGCAAGGTCAAGAACCATTTCTTCGCCAGGGTGGAGCCAGAGGACTCTGATTTCTCCCTCCTCCCTCCTCCTCTCCTGCCCCTGCCTACCTCCTCCAGATCCTTCCCCTTTCTTATCTATGTTTGGTTTTAAATTACAATGTTATTGTTAATATTAGGATGCTGTACAGAGGAGTTACCATCTCATAAGTCTTGTGTTGGGCAGCGTCACCCTTTCCTTCGCTTGCCCCCAGGCCCCCCCTCCGCCCCTGCCTGCAGGTTACACGGTTCATTTTCCACACAGTGTACCCTGAATACCGTGATGGCACCTGCTCCCCCTCCCTCCCTCCTTTTCTGTCCCCTCACTCTCTGCCCCCCCCAAAAAAAACCCAAAGTAAACGTGAACACCATCACCGCCACCAACAAAGCCCATGTTGTCATTTCCTGGAGTTGGTTTTGATAAATAGTATTTAAACTATTCAGAGGAGTTGACACCTCTGGGCCCTTCCCCAAGGGTCTCCTCCTCTAGTCTGACTCCATGTGTGTGTGTGTGTGTGTGTGTGTGTGTGTGTGTGAATGCCTAGAGACCCATGCAATTTACGCGCTCTTTGTCTCTCTGACCTTGGCTTCCTTAGCTAAGCGTGATTTGCTCTGGGTCCGTCCATTTCCACCCAAATGCCTTCATCCTATTCTTTTGAATGCACGAGTGAAATTCTATGGTGTATAGGTAGCGCAGTCTCTCATCTGTTTCTGTAGCTTGGCCATGGCGAATGGGGGAGGGGGTGGCGGGCAGGGGCAGTGAGCATGGTTGTGCGGGTGGGTTTGTGGTATCCTGGCTTGTGACGTTCTGGGTAGATGGTCCGGAGTGGCAGGGCTGGGCCGTGGGGAAGTTCCATGTGTTGGTTTTTGAGGCCTCCTCCTTTGTAAACATTAATGAAATCCAACCCACAGATAAGTGGACAGAGCCTGCATGTGTGGCTCAGTGAATCCTCACACGTGCGTGGGGGGGGGTGAACACCGCCCTCCTGCCCCCCCCCCAGCCCCTCTCCTATCCCCTCCGCTCTGCCCTCTGAGGGCGGGCTGCCCCGGCTGACCCCGTGCCCACCCATGCTCATCACTGGCTGGTTTCCCCTCGTTATCCTGTCCATCTTCTGCTCTTAACAGACGTTTGTGGGTTTTTCCCCCCAGTTATTCTGAGTTTCTTATGTCTTTATTAGTCTTCAGATTGAACTCTGATGGACATACCTGCTACAAACACCTTTTAGCTTTGTGATTAAGTTGGTTACCTATCTATGTATGTATTGTGGCGAATCCTGGGGCTTGAATTCAGGGCCTGGACGCTGTCCCTGAGCTCTTTTGCTCTACCGATTGAGCCACAGCTCCACTTCTGGTTTTCTGGGGGTTCATTGGAGAGAAGAGTGGCACAGATTTTCCTGCCTGGGCTGGCTTCGAGCTGCAGTCCTCAGATCTCAGCCTCTTGAGCAGCTAGGATTACAGGCGTGAGACACTGGCATCTGAGTTGGGGAGGTTTTATTTTTACTCCTTTCCTCATTTTCATTAGGGCATTGTAACCAGTGGACACAAAGGGCTCTGTTGGGACCCCCGTTTCTGGCTCGTGTTTCGGCACACATTTTATAGTTCTTCGTCAGCCCGGCCTCGTTTCTCTGTGTGGTTCCCGTCGGCACCGCCTGACGGTGGCTGGCCTGCTCGGGTCAACTTACGTCCTCTCTTCATCCCGTTCAGAACTTGAGGTTGTCTTTCTCCTTCGGTTAGGGGTGGGCAGCGGTTGTGCCGCATCCCGTACCCATTGGCACACGTGCCTGGCAATTTGGTATTTTTCCCCCTCTTATGCCAAGAGATGTTTCTAGCCTTCTCCCTTTGTGTTCCCCTTTGCCTGTAGCACCTCCCATGTACTCCTCATACACTGGGGATGAGGGACCCCCTCTCCCCATCATGGCCTGGCTTCTGGGGGTACAATAAGAATGTTGTTTTCCAGCCGGGCGCTGGTGGCTCATGCCTGTAATCCTAGCTACTCAGGAGGCTGAGATCTGAGGATCATGGTTCAAAGCCAGCCCGGGCAGGAGAGACCGTGAGACTCCTATCTCCAGTAAACCACCAGAAAACTGGAAGTGGCGCTGTGGCTCAAGTGGTAGAGCGCTCGCCTTGAGCTGAAGAGCTGAGGGACAGTGCCCAGGCCCAGAGTTCAAGCCCCACGACTGACAAAAAAAAAAAGAATGTTGTTTTCCAAACCTTAGAGTTTCTCCAGGGAGGGCCCCGAGCGGTCCAAGGGCTCCAGACTCCCAACGTCGCCTCGATGACCCCGGCGTCCAGTATCTGGCTTCCGCAGCTTGTCGGCTCCGCAGTGGCTTCCATCCCTTCAGTCCACGGCTGCTCAGTGGGGGTTCGAGCACTCAGTCCACGGTGCCTCGGGCTGGCGGTTTCTCTCCCCGTGTACAGGAATGCATCTCTCCCTGCTGGATGGCAGCTCAGGCAGGGTGCGCGCGTGCGGCCCCTTAAGGCTGACTCCAGACTTGATATGGAGCAAGAGCGTGGGCCGCCCTCAGAATAAAATGCACGGCTGGTTGGTAGGGAAGCTCTGGCTCCCTGGAGGTGTCCTCAACACTGAAGGGAGAAAAGACAAAGCTAGGGGACACGGTGGGGTCCCAGCGGGGTCTGGAGACCCCATCCCTGCTTCCTTAACAACCTGGAGGTACACTGAGGCCAGGAGAGGCCCCGTTCCAGCCAGCTGGCCCTTCCTCCACCTTGAAAGTGGGTGAGTGGCCGGGGCAGGGTCGCCAGTCCCTGCTGCTGACCCCCAGAGTGGAGACTCGGGGTGACCTTAAACTCTTTTCCAACGGAGTCTTGGCACTGCTCAGGGCTACACTGCGACCGCTGCCAGGCTGAGAGCAGACAGAATATTCCCCCTCCCACGTGCTCTGCACACAGGGGGCCCAGACCCCTGCAGGGCGGCTCGCCATGGACACCCCTCCTCCGTGTGCTGTGTCTCAGCACGGGGCAAAGCCGGCTGGGAATGGTTCTGAGGCGTGTGGAGAACCGTCCACGGGAGCGCCATTATTGAAAATGATTCAAGTCCTTCGTTTGCAAAGGACCGGAGGGGGACACAGGGAGCTACCACGGAGAGTCTGATTACGTCCACCTGAGTGTGCAAGATGTGCGGTGTGCAAAGAGGGGTCATTCCTCTGACCCCTTCCACCTCCTCAGACACCATCCCCCCATGGGGAGCCAGAAAAACATGAGCAGCTGAGATGACAGGGTGTGTTGCCAACTCTGGGTTTGAGAATCTGTGCCTAGAAGAGCTGAGGACAGGGTCTCCCCAACTTGATTGGGAGAGATGCCTGAAGGCAGGGTTTGGCGCACAGTAGGTGCTTGTGTGATGCTGGCTGGGTCCACATTGAAGGGCTTGGCACACAGTAGGTGCTCACGTGTGATGCTGCGTGGGTCCACATTGAAGGGCTCAGTGCACAGTAGGTGCTCGTGTGATGCTGCCTGGGTCCACATTGAAGGGCTCTGCGCACAGTAGGTGCTCGTGTGATGCTGGCTGGGTCCACATTGAAGGGCTTGGCACACAGTAGGTGCTCATGTGTGATGCTGCGTGGGTCCACATTGAAGGGCTCCGCGCACAGTAGGTGCTCATGTGTGATGCTGGCTGGGTCCACATTGAAGGGCTCCGCGCACAGTAGGTGCTCATGTGTGATGCTGGCTGGGTCCACATTGAAGGGCTTGGCATACAGTAGGTGCTCGTGTGATGCTGGCTGGGTCCACATTGAAGGGCTCTGCGCACAGTAGGTGCTCGTGTGATGCCAGAGCCAGCGGGGGCCCTGTGCGCTCAGCACGGTGGGCCGTGGTGAGCCTCCTCGCTCAGGTTCCCGGCTTCCATCCTTCTGGAGACATGGACAGGGAATTCATTCTTGCTCTTTCTCTCCCGTAGGCCTTGAGAGTCTTCATCCCTAAGGGGAATCCTAGCTTTTTCTGTTGATTTCACCCAGAGGGGCCGGGGCAGGCTTCCTGGATTCTCCCAGCTCTGTAAAGCGGGCTCCCCCCCGACCCCCATTACACGGTGTTCGTTATTGTATTCCCCTGATTGTTCTAGGCGTGGTGCCTTTTTCTTCCCCCCCATAGATGGGGCGTCTGGGCCCCCAGCATGGGGAGGGGACAAGGGTTTGTGGGGTGCGGGCAGGTCAGGAGGTCCCCCGCCACGGCCCGCCTCTGTTGAAAGCCTGCCATTTCCCCCAGTCGCGAGGACTCATGGTCCCGTGGGGCCCAGACTGTGGGTTCCGTGCGACTCGGAATGAACACATTAAATTAATTCTGTGCTCCCCTTGCCCCAGCTCATTAGCACAAATTACATTTCGCACTAATTGGCCGAGGGCGTAGAGAACGAGGTCCCTGTGCTGGAGAGGCGGCTGACTTCGGGGATGGAGGGAGCTGGTGGCCAGCCAGCCTCAGCGCATCTTGAACCTTGCTGCTCAGTGCCGGTGGGGGCTGCTGAGGGCGGGCTTCCGGCCTTGGTCCCCAGATCGGCTCACAGGGTCCCCAGGTCATCTACGTGCATGCGTGTATGTGCCGGTGCTGGGTCCTGAGTTTAGAGCTTCATGCTCTCTCCTTAGCTTTTTCCCTCCAGGCTGGTGCTGGGCCACTTGAGCCACACCTCCACTTCCGGCTTTTTGGTGGTTAATTGGAGAGAAGAGGCTGGCTTCAAACCACAGTCCTTCAATCTCAGCCTCTTGAGAAGCTAGGATGCAAGGTGTGAGCCACTAGTGCCCAGCTGATAGCCATACTTTTATAGTGCATGCACAGTGAAATGATTGTAACATGGAAGCAAATTAAACCCAACATCTTCTATCTGATTCCTCTCTCGTGAGCATGAGCTCTCCCTCCCTCTCTCTTTCTCTCTGTTGGTCTTGGGGCTTAATCTCAGGGCCTGGGTGCTGTCCCTGAGCCTCTTTTTACTCAAGGCTAGCATTTTTGAGTGGTTCATTGGAGCTTAGAATCTCACAGGGACTTTTCTGCTTTGAACCGCAATCCTCAGATCTCAGCCTCCTGAGTAGCTAGGATGACAGGTGTGAGCCAGTGCAGCCAGCTTCCCTGTCTTCTAAAACTCTTTCTCTTTCCTTTTTCTCCCTTCCCCTCCTTTCTGTCATCAGCTAAGCACCATGTTTACACCCACACAGGGGTGTAAACATCCACGCAGAAGCCAGGGGCATCCTGACTCCTCTGAACACTGGGGTCACGTCGGTGGCTGACCCCGGGGTCATCCAGGGGCCGTGTAGGTGAGGAAAGAACTGTTGGGGGTCCCCCGCGGCGATGCTGATCACCCCCTCTCCCGCCCCAGATTGCAGACTTGACGGCAGAGCTGGCCGACGAGCGCTTCAGAGGTGACGTCGCGTGCCAGGCTCTGGAGAGTGAGCGGGCAGAGCGGCTGCAGGCCTTCCGCCAGGTCCAGGAGCTCAAGGTGAGGCCCACAGTGTCCAGACAACAGGGTGTATGGGGCGTGGCCGGCCCAGGGCTCAAGTGCCCTGCGCACAGGTGGACTTCCTCAAGGTGCCAGGAGACAGCGGGCTCTCCTGGAGGCGTGGTGGGAAGGGCTGGTGCGAGGTGAGTCCAGGGTGGGGAGGGACTGTGGGTGAGGATTGTGCAGGGGGTGGGAAGCACCCCTCATCTTGGAGACTGTGCGTCAGGAAGGTGCTGGGGACCAATCTCAGAGCTAGGGTGACCAGCCATGACTTCCAGCCAACTGCGTTTTGCATGTTCCATTCTGTTTTCTTTTTTTTTTTTTCTTCAGTTGTGGGACTTGAACTCAGGGCCTGGGCGCTGTCCCTGAGACTTTGTGCTCCAGGCTGGCGCCCTACCACTTTGAGCCACGGCTCTACTTCCGATTTGTTGGTGGTAAATTGGAGCTAAGAGTCTCACGGCCTTTCCTACCCAGGCGGGCTTCAAATGGAGATCCTCAGATCTCAGCCTCCTGAGGCGCTGAGGATTACAGATGTGAGCCTCTGGTGCCTTGGCTTATGTATTGTTTCTAGTACCCAGGGCACAGACACACCTTTATAGAGAAAGGAGGTTTGTTGAACTCCGTTTGGAGGATGACCACACAGTAGTGTTGATTTTGCTTCCGGGGAGGGCCTGACTTGGCTGGTAACAAGATGAAGGTAGAGGCAGGAAGAGAGATGCACACTGCCCAGGCCGGGCCAGAGCGGAGCAGAGGGCTCAGCCCTGCGGCCTTCACGGGCTCATGCAAGAGCTCACTCCGGTTCTATAAGAACGGCTGTAGTTCCTTCTGAGGGCGGGCTTCCCATGACCCGAGAGGTCACTACCACACTGAAGACCACTTTCCCAACACACACACACTCCAAGCATGTGCAGACCCGGGCACCTTTTCCTGCAGAGCAAGTGTGAGCAAGTGCAGAAGAGTTTGGGAGACGTGGAGAAGCGTCTGGAAGAAGCAGAGCACAAGGTGCAGCTGAGCGAGTTGGAGAGCAAGCCCGCCGGAAGTGGTGAGCACCTGGGGCCCTGCAGGTTGGAGGCTGGTAGGCAAAACTGTCTTCATTCATTCATTCATTCATTCACTCACAGGTGCACACTGAGTGCCTATGGGGGGCTGGGGGGCTGGCACCCTGCTTTTCCCTGGCAGTACAAGGCAGGCTACAAGTGGCCCCTGTAATGGGTCTTCTGTGGGGTGGGAGCCATAGGATGCAAAAGAAAAGGTCTAAAAACTTAGTGACTGTGTATGACTTTCATGAGGGCATTAGAACTTTAGGGGATATTATTTTATGAGGATATTAGAAATCAAGCGGATGAGGCCACTCTTAGCTGAGGGCAAGCAAGCTATAGAAATCTAGTTGCAGGGGCTGGGAAGGTGGCTCAGTGGTAGAGCGCTTGCCTTGCATGCATGAGGCCCTGGGTTTGATTCCTCAGCACCACATAAGCAAAAAGAAAAAAGCCGGAAGTGGCGCTGTGGCTCAAGTGGTAGAGTGCTAGCCTTGAGCTGAAGAGCTGAGGGACAGCGCCCAGGCCCAGAGTTCAGGCCCCATGACCGGACCTCCCCCGCAAAAAAAATCTAGTTGCATCTCCAGATCTGATTTTTTTTCCTTTTTTGGGGGGCCTGGCCTGAGCCTCTTCATGTTCAGGGCTAGTGCTCTATCACTTGATAGAGCCACTTCCAGCTTTTTTTGAGTAGTTTTTTGGAGATCAGAGTCCTCTGGGAACTTTCCTGCCTGGGCTGGCTTCGAATCATGATCCTTAGATTTCAGCCTCCTGAGTAGCTAGGATTACAAGTGTGAGCCACCCGTGTCCAGGTGAATCTACTTATGTGTTTGTGTGTGTGTGTGTGTGTGTGTGTGTGTGTGTGTGTGTGTGTGTGTGTGTGTGTGTGTGTGGTGTTTGTTTGTATGTGTGCCAGTCCCAGGGCTTGAACTCAGAACCTGAATACTCAAAGCTAGTGCTCTACCACTTGGGGAGAGCAACTCCACTTCTAGATGTTTGCTGGTTCATTGGAGATAAGAGTCTAACAGACTTTCCTGCTCACACTGGCTTTGAACTATGATCCTCAGATCTCAGCCTCCTTGGTAGCTAGGATTTCAGGCATGAACCAACAGCACCCTGCTTCGATTCTTGACTCTACCTCTTATTGGATGGGTGTGGGGGGCGGTTCTGGGGACAGGCCGTGCTGGGCCTCAGTTTCCCTTCTTTCCAATGGATACTCACAGCTGGTTGGCCGGACGTGTTTCGCCACCAAATAGCTGCGGGCTGCTGTGTTGTCATGATCACGAGAGATAACGGGGTCACTGCCTAGGGACAAACACAGTTCGTAGACGGGGCTAAGTGGCTCCCAGAGTGAGAAGACTGTGCTTGTCCAGGGATCGCTGTGCTACCGCTGTTGGTTTCTGGGCAGCAGTTTCTGGGCATACCCCACTTCCCCCCCCCCCCCAGGGCCTCGGCTCTCCCGGCTGCCTGGTGCCGTGACATCTTTGTCAACTTTGCCATTGTTCCTCCCGCTCTCCCCACTCTCACCGAATCCAGTGAGGAGAATGACGATGTCAGTGTCTATCAGACGCTGGCAGCAGCATCTGCACCACTGAGATGTCGGGGACACTTACGAGCACTCCGTCAGGAGTCTGAAGAGAAGAGACAAGACAAGGACTTTCCACAGCCTCGTGCCACGTGGGTCCTGATAACCCTCGGGGCAAACATTAACCAGGGCTTGCATTTGCAGGCCGGAGAGTCTCTGATACGGGCAACCCAGCAAGGGAATGGGAAGCCTGTCGGCGATCCTGGCTAGCCCGGTCTCAGTCTGACAGATTCACATGTAAAGGACATCCCGGGGTCAATTCAATGTGGAAGGGAGGCCGCTGAGATGGGGCAGCACGCTTCCTCCAGAATGTATTAGTTACCTGGCTCAACAACCATCCATCCATTATCCTACCCATCCATTATCCATCCATCCATCCATTATCCATCCACCCTTCCATCCATCCATCCACCCACCACCCATCCATCAATCATCCAGCCATCTACATTTCCACCTGTACATATATCTACCCTTCCCATCTACCCATCCACCCATCCACCCACTCATAAATCTACTCACCCACCCTTTCCATCCACCCATCCATCCAGTCATCCATATCTCCAACCACCCATCTACACACCCACCAGAATGCCTATCCATCCTTCCCACCCACCCATCCATCCATCCATACTTGCGTACACCGATACATATACCCATCCACCCACCCACCCACTCATCCATCCATTTGTCCATCTGTCTATCCACCCATTGATCCAGCTCTACTTTAGGCTTACATTCCAGGAAGCCAATGCAAAAATATGTTGTTGTTGTTGTTGTTTAATGAAGACATTAATACGTACTTATTATAGAAAATTTCCAGAAGAGGGGAAAGTTGCAAGAAGCAGTAAAACACTTCAATCATCTCACTGCAGTGTCACCACACTGGCCTATATGGCTCCAGCTGCAGTATTAATTATGAAAAGCCTGGAGCTGATGATGAGGGCTCATTTCTGCACACAGCCCTGAGCTGGGTGCTGGGGTGACAGAACTAGTTGGGCTCTTTTGCATGGCTGATATGGAGACCGCAGAAAGCCAGGCACAGGGAGACAGGATAACCTGGCTCCGAGTGGCATCCTGGACATGGAGGTCGGGGCAGGCCAGGCCTTGAAGGCAGAGAGCAGCCACCCCCCCCCGCTGTGGCATCTGCTCAGGACACACACTCTGCTGGATACCAAAACACCAGGGTGTGGGCAGCACGCAAGTGGCTCCTGCTGCTCCCTGCCACCCTGCGCTGCCTCTCCAAGACCTTGATTGCATTCATTTCCCATTCCATCCATCTGTCCACCATCCTTCTATCTAGCCATCTCTCCAATCATCCATCCATCCATTCATCCATCCACCCATTCATCTACCCAGCCAACATCCAGCCATCACCCACTCATTCATCATCTACTCACCCACTGCTCATCAATCCATCCATCCACCACCCATCCATCCATCTGTGCATCCATTCACCTTCCCATCCATCCACCCATCCATCCATCCATCTACCCATCCATCCACCCTTCATTCATTTACCCATTCATTTTCTATCCATCCATCTGTCTGCTATCCATCCATCAGTGAACCCACCTCCTCATATAAGCTAGCATTCATCCTTCCACCATTCCACAAACCAATAAAAATACCACCTATTCATTTTTCCATTCTACCATCCATTTAACCATCACCTCTCCTTTCATCACTATCTATTCTGTGAAGATTATTGAAAACTTCTTATATGCTAGTTATCATATTACCAAGCAAGGTTGTTGTTGGGCTTGTTTTTAGCTTTCTATAAGCATTCCTATGAGAGCCCTGCTCATGCTGGGGTCCAGCTGTCTTTTCCAGGTTTGTCTTCCGCTCCTCGAGGCGGGTGGCAATGACTTCCTGTTCATTTCATTGTCCTTTTGTGCCTGGTCAAAGCACTTGAGAGGATGGAAGCAAAAGAAATGAATGCCTGTATAGATATAGCTGGAAGGTAGATTGATGGGAGGATGGATGAGTGAATGGATGGTAGATAGTGGATGTATAGAGAGGCAGAAGATGGATGGGAGGATGGTTGTACATATAATAGAAAGAGGGGGAGTGGGTAGGTGGATAGGTGGATGAATGGATGGATGGATGGATGGGTGGGTGGATGGATGGTGGATGTATATATTCATGGATAGATGGGTGGGTGGGTAGGTGGATGAGTGGATGGATGGATGGATGGATGGATGGGTAGGTAGGTGGGTGGATGGATGGGTAGGTAGGTGGATGGATGGATGGATGGATGAATGGATGGATGGGTGGAAGGATGGATGGATGGGTGGAAGGATGAATGCATGGGTGGATGGATAGGTGCATGGGTGGATGGATAGGTGGATGGATAGGTGCATGGGTGGATGGATAGGTGGATGGATAGGTGCATGGGTGGATGGATGGATGGATGGGTGGAAGGATGAATGCATGGGTGGATGGATAGGTGCATGGGTGGATGGATAGGTGGATGGATAGGTGCATGGGTGGATGGATAGGTGGATGGATAGGTGCATGGGTGGATGGATAGGTGGATGGATAGGTGCATGAGTGGATGGATAGGTGCATGGGCGTATGGATAGGTGGATGGATAGGTGCATGTGTGGATGGTAGATGGATGGATTCAGGGCACATGGAGAGGAGGGATAATAGTTGAAGAAATAGACTATACTCTTAACTACCCACTTGGGGGATCATTTTTACGACTCTGTATCTTAAGTCGTATAATTTTATTATTTAGATGGTAAAAAAAAAGATATTATGGGGCTGGGAAGGTGGCTTAGCAGTAGAGTGCTTGCCTAGCATGCACGAAGCCCTAGGTTTGATTCCTCAGCACCACATACAAAAAAAAGCCAGAAGTGGCGCTGTGGCTCAAGTGGTGCCCAGGCCCTGAGTTCAAGCCCCAGGACTGGCAAAAAAAAAAGACATTATGACCCGTTAGTTCCTTCTATTTAGCTAAATAGTTTAATTAAACCATCAAAACCATCAAGTCCTATGTTTTTTTCGTGGGGTTGGGGGAGAAGGATTCTTCCAAAATCGAGGGATTTTAGTGTTCATGTTACCTTTAGGAGACATCCCATAATGAGCTTTGCTGTGAATCTGGTAGATCCTTGTTCTGCTTGTGCATGTCTGTGCTAGTTTTATCAGCAGTTAATGATAACATGCTGTATGACAAAATGAAGATGTATGGATCTATCTATATCTCTATCTATCTGTCTGTCTGTCTGACTGACTACTGGGGTTTGAACTCAGAGTTCTGTGGTTGCTAGGCTCTATTGCTTGGTCCACACACCCAACCCTTTTTTGCTCCCGTGTGTTTAAGGTAAGGTCTCAGCATTTACCCTGGACTGGCCTGGACCGCGATCCCTCCATTTATACTTCTTGACACCACTAGGGTGAGAGGCAAACCCACCCCATCCAGCTATTGGTTGATGTGGGGTGTTGTGAACATTTATCATGGTTTGGCCCAGAACTACGATCCTCCCGATTTTAGCCTCTTGAGTAATAGTAGTAGTAGGGTTACTGGCAGCAGCCACCACCATACCTAGCCAGGAGGATAATCTTTTGCCCGATGGTTTTGCTTCATTCACTGGGCAATTGGCAAACGTCGATCAGTGGGAGTGGAGACTCTTCTGTGTCCAGGAAACTCTTCTCCAGGATATTGAGCAACTACAGAGCAGGTCGCTGCCCGTAAGAGCATGGAATTCCTTTCGAATCAAGGAGGAGACAGTTCTCCTGTTGAGCCAATTGAAGAGTAGCAGCCAGCTGAGAACTTGAGACAGTGGGAAGGCAATCAGGAGGGGCTGCCTGGAGGAGGAATTCCTTCACCTGTGGAGTTAACGCCTAGTTTCTCAGCCTGATGTGCATTGATGAAGGTTCCAGGGGTCTTGGAGTGTTGAGAAATGGCCTGTGGAAATCAGGAAAGTGAGAGATGGTCCCCCCCCTCCTCCTCTTGCTTTGCACTCACTCGGCCTCCTGTCTCGCCCCCTCCCCCTTCCTCTCCCCTCCCCTCCCCTCCCTCCAGCCGATGAGTGGCAGATGCGTCTAGACTGTGCTCAGATAGAGAATGACTTCCTCAGAAAGCGGCTTCAGCAGTGTGAGGAGAGGCTGGACTCAGAGCTAGCATCCAAGAAGGAGCTGGAGCAGAAGGTGAGATCAGGGGTGTGTGTGGGGGGTGGGCGGAGGGGGGGAGGAACGCTCACCCACCCACCACTTGAGCCACGGCTCCACTTCCGGCTTTTTGCTGGTTTACTGGAAATAAGAACGACTCAGACTCCCCGGCCCGGGCTGGCTTTGAGACTCCAGCCTCAGATCTCAGCCTCCTGAGAGGCTAGGATGACAGGCGTGAGGCACCGAGTGCCGGGGCACACCCGCTTTTCTTCTTTCCTCTTCTAAAAAAACGTCTGCCTCGTTGTCACCACTGGACCTTTGCGTGTGCTGTGTGTTCTTCCAAGAATGCGTCTTGTCTCTCTCCCCTGCCTAGGTGTCTCTGTCTGTGTTTAAACTTCAGCCTTAACGTCACTCTGGAAAAATCTTTGTTAACACAGCTTGGTCTGGGGGTCTCTAATGGCGATGATCATGCTGTACTGTAATTATCTGTTGGCTTGGAGTGGGGTGGGGGCTCTGATCTCTGATCTGCCCGTGGTCCGATTCTGCGGTCAGTGTGAACGCACCGTGTCATTCAGAGATGAGACCTCCCAGGACAGCCCAGACTCACTGAGAATGGTGACAGTTTTAATGGCCGCTTCCCAAACAGCCCCACCCTGGGGCTTCTCCAGAGAGATGGGGGCAGTGGGGGGAGCGTAGACCCGCCTGGGAGGGAGAGGAGTCAGGGAGCAGCTCTGGTCTTTAATAACACGTGACAGAGTCGGGGCGGCATCTCCCTGAGGAAGGGGGGAATATTCATGCCACATTAAAAAGTCATAAAACCACGACCTTCTTCGAGCGGCGGGACGGAGGAGAAAAAACATCCCATTTGCCTTCAGAACACCGCGTTGAGAATTACAGGCATCATTAACTTCCAGCTTGGCTTATTTAAAGCAGTGCTTTAATGAGACCATTCCTTCAGAACCAGTATGCTGAGTTGCCGTCTTCCCCAGATCCAAACTAGGGCACCCGGGAAGGAGGGAGTGTCCTGTCTGTCTGTCTGTTTGTCCAGGGCTAGTGTGTGCCCAGAAGTGGCCTGTCTGTCTAACCAAGGCCGGGTATGTACCTAGGTCCTGTGGCCCATGTGAACTCCCATTGGCTGCTTTTACCCAGGGCCCCGCCTCCTGGGTTTCCTGATGGGTTGGTAGATGTGTCCTTCTGGCGGCCCCGTGGCTGTCTTTGCACACGGTGTCTCCTCAGATGACAGGCGCTGAGGGAGACTGAAAGAGAACCTTCTAGTCTAGTGGAAGCAGAAGCTTGGTTGAGGGTGATGCTGATAGGGTGGCCTTGATCACCACCTGATCTCCGAGCAGCTGTAAGGCTCAGAGAGACAGCTTCTCAGAAGTCACACACACACACACAATCATGAGGACAGAGTCTGCAGGACTGAGGACGTGGCTCAAGTGGTAGAGCACCTGCTTAGCAAGTACAAAGCCCTGAGTTCAAACCCGGTACTGCCAACACACAATAAATGAATAAGTGAATGAATGAATGAATGGGTCAAAGGCAAGATCCATGGGGCAGAGGTATCCAGGACGGTGTGGCTGGAGGAAGCGAGGCTGTGGCCTAACCCAGCCACATCCTCAAAATGGCGGCTCCACAAAACGACGCCCTTTGAACCTGGCCGTCCCCTCTCTGTGTCCCGCAGCTCGGGGAGCTGCAGAGTGCGTACGAGGAGGCCAAGAAGACAGCTCAGCAGCTGAAGAGGAGGTGCCACCACCTGACCTGGGACCTGGACGATGCCCGGGTCCTGCTGGAGAACCAGCAAAGCCGGAACCACGAGCTGGAGAAGAAGCAGAAGAAGTGAGCCTGGGCTGGGCTGGGCAGCAGGGTGGGCTGAGCCGGCGCTGGGGGGCGGGGGAGACTTGGGAGGCCCCTGGATCATTTTCCCAACCTCCCTGGCTTCTGGTATGACTCCTCTCCCACAGGGTGTGACCCCTCATTCTGCTCCATTCCCCCCTTTCCCAAACACATTCTGCATTCTTTATTTTTGGTCAGTCGTGGGACTTGAACTCTGGGCCTGGGCTCTTTTGCTCAAGGCGAGGGTTCTAACACTTTGAGCCACAGCTCCACTTCCCGGTTTTCTGGTGGCTCACTGGAGATGAGAGTCTCACGGACTTTCCTGCCTGGGCTGGCTTTGAACCGCGATCCTCAGATCTCAGCCTGCTGAGTAAACTAGGAGAGGCGTGAGGCACCAGCGCCCGGCAGCATTCTGCATCCTTGTAAAAGTGTCTCCTCTGAATTCTAGTTTGAAATGACTTTTCTCTTGCCCACCCTTAGCGTTGCCCCCCAAATGGCCATGATCTGGGAGAACACCCCCCCCCCGCATCTCCCTTTGTGGAGAGTCTGTGGTGGAGGGTGGAGACAGGGTCCGCGGGGAATCCAGGTGTCTCCGGGCACTCCAGGGCTCAGGTCCCAGCTGGGCCTCTCTCTACCCGTGTGTCCTGAGAGGGTTGTATTCACCCCTCTCTCAGCCTCTGGTCCCCGCATGGGGCTGGGGTGCAGGCGTGCATTGGTGCCCAGATCTGTGCCCAGCAGCTGCTGCGTGCACATGGCCTGAGCTCTGGTGTCGCCCCTGTATGAGTGAGGCAGAGGAGGGAGGAGGGGGCCTGACGTGGACCCCCCGCCTCCGCTGTAGGGTTTGGACTCTCCTTCCCCATGGGCGGTTCTGGCAGTCCGTGCATCCTTGAGTCCAACTCCAACTGGTTTGGGGTTTGCTTTCTGGTGGGGCCGCTGCCTAAGTGTAGATATTGGGGAATGGAGTTTCCTGGGGAGAAGTCCTCCCTCAGCAGCTGTGGGTGTGACCCTGGCTCCTTGTGGGGGGAGGGTGGAGGGGGGAAGGGCTGGGAGGGGTATGCACCTGTGTGCACGCGACCCTGCTTTAAGCAGAAGGCAGCAAGGTGAAGGCTGCTGCCTCTTTTAGAACAAGGAGGATGAAACACAGAGAGCCAGTTCTATGGAGGGCCAAGAGGTGGTTTTTTCCAGGTGTCCAGGAGACACAGGCAGAATCGCATTCCTCGGTGGGGGTGTGGCAGGGTGGGGAAGGGAGGAAGGGGTCACAGATTACAGCCCCCCCTCCCCCCTGCAGTGGATATTCTGTCCTTGATCCCTGAGCTTTCCTGAGCTGGCTTCCTCTTCTGGAGATGGGGGGGGGGGGGGGGGGGGGAGAGAGACCCATTGGAGTATTGTTAGCTGGTCTGCCCAAATGCAAGGGGTTTGCTCTTCTTTTTTCCGCTCTGTTTCCCTTTCCATTTCTTTCTGAGTCCTGCAGATAAACATCATCACACCGGGGAAACTTGGTTGGCTCTTTCTTGGCCACGCGCTGTGTGATCTTGGGAAAATGACAGAGCTTCTCTGGCCCACAGGATGACTTGAATGTGTGACCCTCACAGGCCACGACAGACCGGGGTTCTGACAGAGCCCCGCTGTGGCAGGACAGGGGTGCGCTCTGACGTGCCCGGGGGGCCCTCTGGGTCCTCAAATGTGGGTTCCATTCTTGTTTTAGAATTTCAACTTCTCTGTGGGTTGGGGGGGGGAGCCTCTAGACTTTGTGCAGTTAGAAACCATCTCTTTGGTTTTACTTCAACTCCTTGGGGAGAATTCTTTTTTTTTTT